GATCCAATCAAATTGTCAGGGCGGGCTTTATACGATGATGGACAGATGATCAACAGTAACGTAATCAACCATGTGACCAAAGCGCGCTTGGGTGACAACAAAAATGGCTGCCGCCAGAGAGTTGAGGTGTGTAGATTCTGCTATTAGGTCTGTTCTAGAAGATATCGACAGCAAATTAATTTTAAAAGAGGAACAGAGAAACACCATCAAGGCTCATCTTCTTATTCTAGGCATGCAACTGCACGCTTTGTTTTTTGTTGACAACTATGCGTTGCTTAACATACGTCACACACTCCGTTGCTCTTATTGGTTGTACGTCTGTCCAATTGAGTGCAGAGGCATTTTTTTTCCTGATTCGTTCAAAACACGCCCCATAATCACAGCTCTATGGAGCAGTATCAGACTCATATTCTGACTAGAATTGAGTATGACTACGTCAGGCTAGTTAGGTTTAGGACTAAGGTGTGAATTGAGTTTAGGTTAGGTTTAGGGGTATGTGTGTGTCGGTAATGGTTAGGGTTAGGGCAAGGGTCACGGTTAGGCCATATAAATTAGTGGGAAATGAATGGAAGTCAATGGAAGGTCCCCACAAGGATATTGTGACACAACATGTATGTGTGTGTGTGTGTGTGTGTGTGTGTGCATTCTGGGTTCATCTAGAAAAATTGACACTAGATCTTTTAATTTGAGTTTTTTTTTTTTTTTTTTTATGTTTTCCATCGCAAATAAAAAACAAATTTGTTGCCTGGAATTTGGTAAGGAATCATAAATATAAAATAAAATCATAATATAAACCTGTATTTATAAAACTGGAGCTCTTCTGAGTAACTCCCTTATAAATATATTTAAACTTAATGACTTGGGAACAAAATCCATAACAAAAATTTTAGTCAGACTGACTTAATTCATTTTACTTCGTTTTCATCCAGACACCTGAGCTGCTTTGAGGAGCTCCGATAGCTCAGTGTGGAAAACCAGCTGATCCCAGGTTGTTCTCTACATCCAGTCTGTTTTTCTGCTTGGTTGTGATGTGTGTTAAAGCTGAAGGTTAACTCAAACATATCAAAATAACTTTTTGTTTAATAAAATCTTGCCTAATTTTTTCGATTTTGTCCTCACAAAGCAAAACAGATCCCAGCTCTATTTTATTTTACTACTTAAGAAATAAAATATTTTCATGTACCCCTTGAAATTCACTTGTGGACCACTAGAGGAACGAGTACCCTTGGTTGGGAAACACAGGTCTAAGTGAACAACGGCGTTTACGAGGGAGTACAACTTACTTTACAAAAAAAAGTTAAATTGCATATTAACGTCCCTCTTTGATAAAACCTGACATTTGGAAGGAAGAAGAACTAACCAATCAAAATGCTATAATTAAAACATCTGATTCTCCCCACATTGCAGGAGGGACCCAGTCTAAAAGATAGCAGTGAGTTTGTGGTTTTCCATAAACTTGAATTCTACTTTATTTTAACTAACCACTCAAAAGCATAAAAAAAAATTCACCATTAGCCAAGAAGAGATGGTGAAATTTCTTTCATGCAAGGTATACCAATATGTATTTTTGAAAGCACATTTTAAAGGGAATAGGCTAAATACCTGCAGTATGAAATGCCTGTGTGTTGCCAGCTGAAGGTCCAAATCCTGATTATCAAGATGCTCTCGGAGTGTCGCAAGGAATTCGTTTTGCCTGTTGATGTCCGTAGCCAAGATCAGTGAGCCCAGCTGCTGTTCTATGTCCAGCCTGTAGTTAAGAAATGCAAACCAACTGCTTTAAATTGACCTGTAACAACTTCATTTTAAAACTGCATGTTTCCTACACCAGTGCCTTCCCTTAAACAGGAATATATGATATGCATTTGCAACTTTAGCTAGTAATTTATTTGGCATAATATCAAAATAAAAAATGTTTAATTTATGGTTACTTTAGCATAGTAGCAAAGTCTAATGGCATGAAATAATTGTTTTTATTAAAACCAAAGTTGCTACACTGATTGGAACCCCTTAAAATCCTATAAAACAAACCATTGAGCTTTTCTGTGTTCTTATAAATTGATCAAGAGACTAAAAGAGAAGGAAATTAACTTTGGATTAGAAAGTCATCATGTTTTTTTTTTCAAACAAAACATAGGCACAACACTATGGCTACTATTAAAGATGGGAGAGACAAAAAAATATATATAGTAATTTCAACCTGGAGAGACTCACACAGAGAAAAGCTGCAGTTAGAAAAGTTTTATTCTATGCATTTCAGTTGATTTATACATTTCCAATTGACAACATGCCAACCCTGGGCACTCTGCAGAGACCACCCAACAAGACCATACAGTCAGATTGGTCAAAAGTTTTGCAGGAAAACCAGCTGATTCCACTGACTCATTTACTCTTCTGCAATCCCTCACATCGAGCATGCATGCAGCGACTGTGGAGGGTAAAACCTCCAGCAGAACCAGGCTCAGTGTGAGCGGCCATCTGCTGGGGCCAACTGGGGTTCAAATATTTACATGAAAGAAATGAGTTATTTGACGCTCAGACCCCGGCAGAAGACTTTGATGCTGAGATTAGACATTCGCTTGGATGAGTAACATAGGAAAAGGATTAAAGTTGTCTCACTCCACGGGGCCTGGCACTGGAGGTGGAATAAGCCAGAGGGTGAGTGGGACTGAGTGAGGGAGGAGATGAGGCAGAGGTGGGAGAAAGTTTGCTTGCGTGCAGGGGAGAAGCTAGGCCAGGAGCTAAATTAAGGGGATGTTGAAATAAAATGGCCTCAGAGGAGGTACGGCCCCGACTATGATTGGCTGAAGCTGAACGAGGGACATGGCAGGTGGTTCAGGTGAAGCTAATAAGAGTCCTCCAGATTGAATTTTCTCTTAAGCTTCATTTAGGGAAGGCACAGATTTTTTTAGCGACTAAAAATGTCATCATCGTTCTAAAGTTTTCCAAAAGGGTTTACATTACCTTACAGGGGGGGAGTGAAGATTTTAAAAGGATGTTAAAAGTTCAAATTTGATTTGAAATGTACAAAATAGTAATACACTTTATGGATTACGGTAATAGAAAAAAGGTGGAAGATAATGCATTTTTTTTAAACTGGAGTTCCCTTAAGAAAAAAAAAAAAAACAACTGAAAATATACCAAAAGGTTTAAAAAAAAAATCCATCTAAAAAAAGGGTTTCTGCATTCAAATCTTAACTTCCATAAGAAATCCAACTAAATGCATAAATTGCTGGGATATGCGTGTGTTTCCTTACGACATGTCGGCAGACAGGTGGTTCAGAAGACCCGACTCTCGGAGCATGCCCACCGTGGATCTCCAGTGGTGGCTCTCCAGCACAGAGGTGTTCTGAACAGGGAGAAAGTCAGTCTCTACGCGCTCTAACACTAAACCCCCCCAAGTATAAATCCAGACGCTGACACCCATCAGCCGGTTAGGTGCTTACCTGGTAGAGGGATGCCAGGTGGTGTCTAGTTTTAATGAGAAACGGCTGGTTGACACCAGGGTGATCCACGTCATGAGCTGCCGCCGCCATCAGACCCAGGAAGACATCCACAGGAGTCAGCCGCTCTGCCAGCTGCAACACACAAATGCTCTGAAAAGGCTTGAGGTAATATTACTAATCCTACTTCTTAGTGCCTATTCTGAGAAACATCCAATTTCTGGTTATTTAATTTTTTTTATGAAATATCTATAGAATAGAACAGAACAATAAAGAAAGTTCCTTTATTGTCCCACAATGGGGAAATGTTGGTGTTTACAGCAGCAAAAAGATTATAGAAAAAATTGCCACACAACTATGGACCTTAGAAAAATGTATAAGAATAACATAATAGTAAAGTGTTAAGAGTTAAGTCGGGTATTAGCAGTAAGTATAAGAGTGTGAGCAAAACTCTCAAACAAAACAGTCAGATTTAATGTATACTAGAAACGTATTTTTAGTAAATTAGTAGACAGATATCTGCCTTTACTTGAACGACCATTTTACTGGTCTTTCCCTTTTTGAGAGGCTCAGAGAAATAGGATTCTCGGTCGGGTCACACCTTTACCTCCAAATTCATCCCACAATAAAAATTGACATCGTTAGATGTTCAAAATTCAGACTTATTATGCATCATAGTAGGGAGTTAAACACTGAATGCTAAGTAAAGAAGAAAAGAGGATATTGATTAGTGAAAATGCAGACTTGCATTTTATCTTCTGAAGGAGTGTGTAAGTTATCTTCACTATACTCGTCATATTAAATTTCATGTAGTGCTTTTAACTAAATGGATTCATCACAAAGTGCCTCTTGGAACAACATAAGCAATTACTGTATGAGGGGAAAGATGCAAAGACACCACATCTGATCAGAGGGCTTCAGAGAAATCTCTGAGCTCCAGGTGGATGTGTCACTGAGTTCAAGTGAGCAAGAGACGTCCCTGAGGGAGCACAACTAATAGATTATGTCAAAGAGAAGGCTGGGACCGGTGGAGCTTTAGATTGACTGGAAAACACTGACACAGTCCACATGTGTGTTTACCTTGGTCTCTTTTAGGTAGCAGTACATGGCTTGAGTTACATCAGCAGCATGAACAGCATTATGATATGGATTGTTGGAATGGTAATCCTCCTGCACCATTCCTGCAAAGCGTTATAAAAGCGTCAATGAGAAGGGATGTTATAAACAAATTTACAAGGGTTTTTGTTCATATCAGGTTTTTGCAAAACATAAAGTAAGTATTGATAGTATTAAAATACAGAAAATGGTATGAAGTGTTGAAAAGGTAATTGCAAGTACTGCTAAATAAATTTGCACTACAGGACTTAATACTGTTTTTATTTGTGTGAAAAAAAATCTTTTCAGATTTTTTTAAGTTGACAAGCTTCTGGACTGTAAATATATATCTAAGCCCATTTGGTATAGAATACATCATAAAAGATGAAGGATCTGAAAGGAATGAGAGGACTGGCAGTTGGAGCAGCCCTAGTTGGCAAATAGCCTGATTAGTGAGCTCACCATACCGAATGCATGTATTGCACTACTAGGTCCTGCTAGTCCCAATATCTACAGGTCTTGGTGCTTTTAATAAGTTAGAAAGACTCAAAGATGTCTATTTCACATTCAAAAATACTTTAAAAATTCTGGGTAATTCCAACATTCGTGAAATTTTAAAATAGGAGTTAGAAGCGTTTGCTCTGAGAGAGCAAGACTATCACCAGCTAACAGGAAGGCTGAACAGAGTACAGCAAAGTGATATAAGTTTGAGATCATAGAATTTTTAATCTTTGTCCGCAGTTCAGGGAGATTTTTAGTGAATTTCAAAGCTAAAAAGAGCTAATGCTGGTCTTGTTAAGCTAGACAACATTATACGATGAAGACTGTTTAAATTACAAACTATGTAAACTTCAGTAAATTCCAGGGTTGAAATAATTTGCTGTTCCATGAAAAACTTCAGGACAATTTCTAATCCGACTTCCCTTTAGTTTTTCTAATCCAAATTTAAAATAAAATGTGGAGACTAGGATTACCTAACTGCATGTGAGATTTTGATCGCTCCCAAATTGTAATCAGTTTTCCAAAACTGTATACCTTTCAAGACAGTGTATTACAAGAATTTTGTAATGCTTATCTGAAGAGCTGTTGACCTTTGATAACCCAGTTTTGAACTTTTATGTGAATACAGAAAAACAGAAAACATCTCTTGAATTAATTCCCAATGCATTGATTGTGTAAAAACCTATTCTACACTTAATTGACGATCATTAAATAGTCCTGATTATCTTATTCTATTTTAGCTTTAGTGAATGATGTCATGATAAATAATTTAAAAAGAAACGTTGTCCGACAAACAACCTTTTTCCTTAGAAACTGAAATTTCCATTTTCTAGGAATATGAGCCAGAAAAATCTGTATGAAATATAAAAATATATATTTTAAGAAGCTACAAAGATTAATGCTAGGTCTGTAATTTTCTTATGTAGAGTTCTAATGTAATGATAAAAATTTGAAGACGTCTAATTTGTGGCTTTTAGTGTCAGTCAAGCAATATATCACAACTTTTATTTAAAAACTTGTATTCATTTTAATGGTTATTCATCTGGTTATGTTTCACATCTTTCTGTCAATATTTTACCTGAAAATGGGGAATTTTATATTTAGTCGAACACTGTTATTCTAAAGGTGCTACAGAAATAAAAATGTTTATTGAATGAGTCTAATAGATCCTTTATAGCAGTTTTTAAGCTTTCAACTAGCAGACATGTCAACTTAAAGGGATAGTTCGGTATTTTTGACATGAATCTGTATGGCATCCCCATCACCAGTGGCATGCAATCACACTGACTTACCCCTGGCAGCGTCCTGTGAGCAGAGTTATCGTCCAGCTTTGGTCAAGCCGAAAGTAGTCCGGCAGGTTTGCTAGACCCAGCGAAATAAAACGTTTCTCTTCCCAAAACATTATGTGTTCAAAAGAGTGATATTTTTGCATCCCAAAAACATTGTAGTGGAAAAAGTCACACGTCGTTATCACTTGGTCCTATTTTCTCTCTGTTCGTATTTCTCTCTGTTCGTATCAGTGCGCGCCGTCATTCTGACAGCGAGAACCTGACAACAGCCATGTCTCCCTCCGCCCAGCTAGGCGGAGGGAGACATGGCTGTTGTTGAGCTCGCTGTCTGAATGACGGCGCGCACTGATACGAACAGAGAGAAAATAGGACCAAGTGATAACGACGTGTGACTTTTTCCACTACAATGTTTTTGGGATGCAAAAATATCACTCTTTTGAACACATAATGTTTTGGGAAGAGAAAAGTTTTATTTCGCTGTTCCTAAAAACCTGCCGGACTACTTTCGGCTTGACCAAAACTGGACGATAACTCTGCTCACAGGACGCTGCCAGGGGTAAGTCAGTGTGATTGCATGCCACTGGTGATGGGGATGCCATACAGATTCATGTCAAAAATACCGAACTATCCCTTTAAAGATTAATTAGCGTGAACTAGGAAGTTAAAGAATAGAACATTTTATTGGTATCCTAGCTACAAGAAAAAAAAAAAAAAAAAGCAAATGTCTGCAGCTAACTTACCAAGAAACCTGTGTAGTTTAACCATATCCAGCTGGAAGTGGTGAATCAGTCCACAAACATTGAAGAGGTGGCTCATCAGAGTCACCAGACTGTTACCTATGCAGATAAAAACATAAAACTTGCATCTTTTAATCCTTCATACATGACAACACAATCGTTCCAAACCATAAAACAGCCCATAGATAAGGATCCCGCAAAAAAACCAAGAGGATATAAATATCATAGGGGGAGGCATCTTTTGGATGAATGAAATATCAGCAATCATTAAAAACAAAACTCACCATTTGTAAGTCGGTCAAAAAGGAAAATGTCAAAGTTCCACGTGTCTACTTTTGAGAGCATGTGCTGTAAAGAGAGACATTTATCTGAGCTGATTAATTTTTCCACAAACATGAAGAAATCCTATGAAATCTTTGTTTGGAAATTTGTTTTTGTGTCCTTACAGCTGCCTGTCCCAAGTAGTCATCGTCCAGCAAGTGCAGGGACCCGGGAGTGTGGGGCATTAATCCCCTCAGCAGCTTGGAGGCATGGCAGTATCTCTGGAAGCTTAACAATCGCTTAAGTTTCCTCCTTGTGCCGGACTCAACCTCTCCTGGCTGGGAACTTGCTGAAAAAATAAAAAAAAATCATAGGGTAAAAGTCAAGGACTAAAAGGGATCTGAATTACAAAAAGGGGGAATAAAGATACAAGTTTCAGATTGAGATCAACTTTAATGATCCCCACAGAATTATGATTTTCTTTTTTTTTTTTTTAAGAGGAATCTGTAAGACACAACTTTGGAAATAAAAAAAAAACATACAAATAATATTCACAACATTAGACTGAAAATAAAAAAAAAATATATATAATATAATTAATATACATCCATCAATCCATTATCTGACACGCTTGTCCCGAGTGGGGTCGCGAGGAGTGCTGGTGCCTATCTCCAGCAGTCAATGGTCGAGAGGCGGGGTACACCCTGGACAGGTCGCCAGTCCATCGCAGTAATTTAATATTCCAATCACCCTATTATACAATAGTAGCCATTCAAATGCCCCCACTTTCCTTGATGGGTCCTTGGCTGGTCCCCTACAATTACCTTTTAAATATCAATATTTTTGCATGATTTGTGGACATTAAGATCTAAAGAGAAGCGTATCTCCTGGTCAGACCCTGTAATTTAGTGAAAGTTATGGAGTCAAGAGTAAAAAAATATGCAAGAGGGGTCACTCCAGTGGCTTGAAGTTTGAGGGGATTTTACTTTGGGTTGGAGGGGAGTGGGCTTCCATTTAGCTGGGAAGGGCCATTTTTAATGGCTGCTACTGTACATCAATCTTGTGTTTAAATTAAATTTAAATTCCAAGACGTTTGACTGTAGCAGTTAAAAATTCAATAAATACTCCAGGTTATTGGACAGAGGTGGTTATTTTAATTATATAACACAATTATAAGTCCAGTTTATCATAATTATTTCATTCAAACTTACTGTATGTCTATATCCAGAGTGTGAAATACAGGGGGGGTCCAGGGGGGCTCGAACCCCCTGATTAACCCCTGAGACCACCTGAAAGCCCCGAAAACAAAATTTTAAGGGGGTCTTAAATTGTGTAAAAAAAGAAAATTAAAAATAAAATATTTTTTTTGTCACTAATGGTCACTAACATGTTTTTAAGCTCAACATGTCCAGTATTTAAAATTAAAAACATTTATTCATAAATATGTTCTGTTTTTTGCCAAGTTGAGCCAGCCAATCCTGTTCGTGTATGCAAATTAAACATGTGCGCGCCAAACAGAAGATAGACGTAACGTTGACAACAACGTTACGAAAATAATGGAGATGGGGACCCCCCAAATATTGACAGGTATTTCGCACACTGTCTATATCCTTATAAAATACATCAAAGTGCATTCTGTTGGTTGATTTTCTTATAAATATAAATTAGTGGAAGGTACTTAGTTTTTTTTGGTTATGATGTAATTAATGAAAAGGGTTTTAATGAAAAGGATGAGTAAGATTTTATTTTTATTTCAGTATAATACCTGCTTTTAACTGATCACAACCATTCAAGGAAAAAAATATCTTTCCAATATTTTGTCCATATTATGTCTACCATTTCCTTCCTTCCTTCCTTCCTTCCTTCCTTCCTTCCTTCCTTCCTTCCTTCCTTCCTTCCTTCCTTCCTTCCTTCCTTCATATATAATAAATATAAATGAAATAACTAATC